GGGGGTAGGGGGGGGTGACACGCCGTGATGGATGGCCGCCGGGCAGGGGTTTCCCGGCGAGGGACGGGCAATAAAACACACCCTTCCCTCCCTGCCTCCGGCTTATGGCCCTCCGGCCTCCGTTTACTGTCAGGTTATTTGCATTAGTGGGTGTTAATGTGTTACAGAGGTGCCGCCCGCTGCCGCCCCGGACCCTCCATGCTGCTGTGCCGGGGGATCCCGGGCAGCGGCACCCGCAAATTCGGGCAGAAAACAGAAAGGCGACCTTTACATTTAGATTTGGTCTGTCTCGCTGTTTTATCCCCCTTTCTGAACTGCTATTTGCTGTCATAAATCCAGGGTCTTTTTTCCCTCTGCCAAAGAAAGTCCATCCAGGCTCGACCCGGCGGCTCTTAAACCAGAGGGGAGGGTCAGCTCTCCCCTCCTGCCACACATTTTGGGCCCAAAGTAGATTTTTCTTCTGTTTTCTTTCAATGTGGGATGGGGTTTTCCTCCCGTAGAGCTCCCGCAGCATGGGGGAAGGTGAGACACGTGAGTTCACGCTGAGTTAAATACGGCTGCTTGGGAAAGAGTTGGGGTTTGCAGGAGGAAAGCAACCCGGGCATCCTCGGGGACCCTGGAGCCAGGTCCCGTGGGCATCCAGGAACCGACCCCAACCTCATCCTCGATGGCACAGCAGCAACGGCCGCTTCAGCCCCCGGGTTTCGGATGGATCCTGGGTTAATTTTGGCAGCCTCCGGGGCACGCCGCGTCCCAAACACCACCAGCGCTTGCCATAACCCTTCCCAAAAGCCAAGCAACCGACTTCAATATTATTTAATGTAAAATATTCAAGTCTTACTCTTCTGATCCTAATTTAATGTTATTTGCAGTTGTGTCTCCCACCACGCAAGGAGTTTTGCAGCCGCTCGAGGGGCATCGCAGGACAGGTTAGGAGGGAGCATATATTTTTTAGAGGAGTCAGCTTACAAGCTGCGAGCGGCCGGCAAGGGATGAAACCTGAAAGGAGCTCCCTAACGCTTTCCCCTTGCAGCATCACTCATCTTTATGGGGTTCTTAGGAGGCGGCAGCAATCCCCGCCGACAGCGGTTGTCACCTACGGTGGCAGTGACAAAAGACCTGGGCTCCAGAGAGACGCCTTTCTGTTGGGAAGGCAAAAGGAAGAGGCAGGGGGGAACGTTGCCTGTTTTTCGGTGCGGCCGAGCAGGAGCAGAGCGATGCGGGTGCAGGCAGGGAGGCAGCTTTGGGTGTTGCCTTCCCTTTTCTGTGCCTCGGTTTCTCCTCCGGCAAAATCACCCCCATGCTCCTGGGGCGTAGGGAGGAGCATCCCTTTGCCACGAGCATGAAGCGGGAGGAAAGCTTTGCAGAAAGAGGGGTTTGCAGCACTAATGCATCTCCCGGGGGATGGGGACAGGCAAAGCCGCGGCCCTGTGGGAACAGGCAGGGCTGGGGGGAGGCAGGTCGGTGCCGCAGGAGGGGACCCCGCTCCTGCAACCCCAGCAGAGGTGACTTCAAAAAGGGAAAGGCTAAGGCGGCCACATCAAAGAAAGCATTAAAGAATCTCCTGAAGGAAAAAAAAGAGGGGTTTTTGGGTTTTTTTTCTTTTTTTCCCCCCACAGTTCCTGCACAGTTTCTGGGCCCACAGCCCCTTGCATCCCTCCTGTGACCCCGGCCTTGCGCCCCCGGCCAGGATGCCCAGCGCTCTGTGGAGCAGCCTGCCCGTGGTGCTGGGGCTGCTGCTCTGGCACCCCGCCGGCGCCAGCGGCCTGTGCTGGGAGAGCAGCAAATGCCAGGACCTTGCCAGCGAGGCCGGCATTTTGGTAAGCTTGGGGATGGGGACTGCCCTCCAGCTGCTTTCATTTCTAACCCTCCCCAGCGACCGGCACGGTGGGGTGGGGGGGAAGATGACGGAGATGCCGGAGATGCCGTCACCGTGGGGTGACCCGCATCAATGTGGGGTGATGCTTCGGGCCCCATGACCCACAGGTTCGGGTGGGCTCGTGCCTCCTGGCTTCGTGCTGGGTGATGATGGTAAAATAAGTTTTTGAGCTTGCAGCGTCCCTCCTGTGTGGGACGAACCAGCAATGTGGGTATCGGCTTTACCCCACGCCCAAGGGCGCCTGCAAGAGCATGACCTGCTCCCACCAGTGATGGGACAGCGGTAGTGGCTCACCCTGCGCAGGCACTGAGTTTGCTCCAGGGACCCCCACAGCAGGGGCTGTGCCCCCCCCCAGCACTGTTTCCAGCCACCCAGGGCTGGTTTGGTGCCCGTGCACGATGCTCCAGGCTCAGCCCTCGAAGCTCCCTGCCAAGGGGGTGGCACCTGCACGGGGACCTCAGCGGGTCACAAGCATGAAACCATCCTGTGAAACATCCCGCTCTGTGCAAGCAGCCCCCTGCAACACCCCCCACCCTTGGGAAGGGAGTAATTATCGTGACTTGAAATAGCACAAAGGGCATCTCTTTCTCACCAAAACAGATTAGGTGCGCTTAAACACTGTGTGGAGCAAAAGTATGGCAAAACAGATTAGATGCTCTAACTGATAGCACTTTCAGCTTTTTTCGCTCTGTGCCCCCTGCAACACCCCCCACCCCCCACCC